GCCTCCCAAAGGCACGGGATTACAGGCTGAGCCACCAAGCCTAGCCGCGAGTTGTTTTTCAAAGACATTGAATGGCCTTGTTCCAAAGCTTTGTAGATATGTGATCCCCCATGTAGCCTAGCCAGAAGCTCCATAAGTCATCATTACCCACCACCAAGATCTTCTAATACCACAGGGTGTATCAGTTGTATGGCCCAAGCAGCAGAGCCATTTATCCACTGTCTAGACCTGTAGCAGAGTCCTCTCCTCTTCTGGGCCCCAACAAAGCTGGCAGTCATTGGTGTCACTCAGCACATGGGCTACAGCAGTATTCCTAGGTATGAAATAGTGACACATGTTGCTCCCATAACTCAGAGATACTTGCCAGGCTTTGCGCTCCCTTCTTTGCAGTGGAGAAGTGCAAGATGTGATCATTTGTCTTTTATTTGAGAGTGGTTATTCTTGCATGCCCTGTCCACAGGAACCCTACAATTTTAATAATGTGAAGGCCCTTGAGTCTTTGTAAGGTTTATCTTTCATTCTATGGAGCACAGATATCTTACCACAGAGCATGATAGCAACTTCTTGCCTGTCTGGCTCAATTAACATAACAGCACTGATGTAGTAAATTAATGTATTGTTCTGCCGGATGTTCAAATAGTCTAAAGGACAGGAGAGTTAACATAGTCCTAGGGAAAAACTATTCCATCCACATGCCTTTGCCCTAGTTCCATCTATTTTTCTACTTGTGACAATTTGTTTGACAAACTATTTTCATCTCAGTGAGTCAGTCCTCCTGGCTGCTACTGTGACCCTGTTACTTATTACAATAATTGCATACACTTAGATTTTGGTAGTTAAGTGTTACCAACTGGCCTTTACTGGCTATTTAACCCATCATCTCCATTGCTATCAATGATAGCAAATGTATCATAGCACCTATCTCGTGTGAATGAAAAGTCTTTCTGGTCTTTTCTTACTGGAATAGAAAGGATGCATTCACTATATTCATGGCTGTATGCTGTGTACCTGTGATCATATTGATCTCCTCTAGCAAAAATCCTACCGCTGGCATGGCTGCTGCAATTAGAATTGCTTCACTGAGTTTGCACTCATCTGTTTTCATCTTCCAGGATCCTTACAGTTTTTGCAAGAGCCATACTAGTGGATTAGATGGAGATTTGACAGGGACCAACAGCCCTTCATTCTCTAGATTCTTAAGGAGATGGCACTAATTTCCACCATCCACTTAGTGATGTAATATTGTCTTTTATTAACTTGGTTGAATTTTGGGAAGAATTTTAGAGACTTCCTTTTGCCCTCTCCCAGTGTGAGTATCCTTTATCCCACAGGCCAAGAACCCAACATGGAGCTTGTTCCAATTATTTAGTGTGTTATTATCAATTATACTTTTAGGGACTGGGGAAATAATCCCTTAACAGATCTGAAGAGACAGAGGGCCCATATGAAACCAGGACTCCATTCACCAGCTGGTCTCTGAATATTCTACTCTAAAAGAGGGACATCATATGCTTCAAGTCTTGGGTATGACAGTCAGTTCTGACTGTGTCCAACATCTTTAAAATGTCTGGCTAGCCCCCTTTTTCCAATGCATAGCACTAGGGTGACCAACTCATCTCAGCGTGCTCCAGGCTTTTCTAATTTTATTTATTTATTTATTTTGTGTTGGAGTCTCTGTTGCCCGGGCAGGAGTGCAGTGGCACTGCACAGAGTCAACCTGCTGGACTCAGGCAATACTTCCGCTTCAGCCTTACAAGTAGCCAGAACTACAGGCGTGTACTGCCACACCCAGCTAATTTTTTTTATTTATTGTAGAGATGAGGTCTTGCTGAGTTGCCCAGGCTGGTCTTGATTGCCGCAGACTCAGGCAATCCGCTTGCCTTGGTCTCCCAAAGTTCTGTGATTACAGGCTGAGCCACAGAGTCCAGCCAACTCTTCTAATTTTAAAACAAAAGTCTCATGTTCCCCAGAAGTCCATCAATTCTGGGAAAACCAAGATTGTTCATTACTCTAAAATGTCTTTTGGAGGAGTGAGAAAATTTTTCCTAAGTATATTTGCTGTTATATTAAAACAGTCTTCCTATGGGGTCTTGACCTCCTCTGTAGTCAGTGGATTCTGAGTCTGAAAACAACCTCAGGTCCTTGATTGTGACTTTTAACTGGGGCAATTGCCCTTGGTCATTCATCCTTGATTAGAGTATCCTTGTTGTAATCCCATCTATTTTAACCTTTGTGACAATCTGTTTGACAAAATATTTTCATCTCTGTGGGTGTGATGTGGTAATCCCAAATTTCAGAGGGATTGTGTTTGATGTTTACCTATTCTAAGGAAGTTACCAGGAGGTCTAACAGGGAAAGACATTGGTTTATTCAAATTTATGGGAGGCACCAATGGCAGCAGTTCGGGAAGAATCCATGTCTTGGGGCAGTATAGTAAGCAGTTTTATAGGCAAGCATATCAATTAGTCAGATTCCTATATGGTGTTTAAAATTATCCCTGCCACAATCACGGGATGTAGTCCATCTCAGGAAAGTTGTGTGCTGGGGCTAGTCACTG